GCGAATGGAAAAGTGTTAGTTACTGGTGGACTTAATAATCAGGGTTTTCTAAATAGTACTGAATTATACGATCCATCAACAGAAACTTGGACAATCACTGGAAATATGAATAATGCACGTGCTGATCACACAGCATCTGTATTAACAAATGGAAAAGTGTTAGTTACTGGGGGACTTAATAATCAGGGTTTTCTAAACAGTACTGAATTATACGATCCATCAACAGAAATTTGGACAATGGCTGGTAGTATGAATAATGCACGAACTGAGCATACAGCATCCGTATTGGCTAATGGAAAAGTATTAGTCACTGGTGGACTTATTAATCAGGATTTTCTAAATAGTACTGAGTTATATGATCCGTCAACAGATACTTGGACAATTACTAGTAGCATGAATGATGCACGAGTTGAACACATAGTATCCGTATTAACAAATGGAAAAGTGTTAGTTGCCGGTGGATATTATAGTTTTAATCGTTTACATAGCGCTGAACTGTATGACCCATCAATGGAGACTTGGACAACTACTGGTAGCATGAATTATACACGAATTCAATTCACAGCATCTGTATTAACGAATGGAAAAGTATTGGTTACTGGTGGATCGAATTATAATTTTAATCGAAATAGTGCTGAGCTGTATGATCCATCAACAGGAACGTGGACAATCACTGGTAGCATGAATCAGGCGCGGTGGAAACACACATCATCCGTATTAAAAAATGGAAACGTATTAGTTACTGGTGGACTTGACCATTATCCTCTAGATGTTGCTGAATTGTATGATCCATCAACAGAAACTTGGACAATTATTGATAGGATGAATACTCCACGAGGTGATCACACAGCATCCGTATTAACGAATGGAAAAGTGTTGGTTACTGGAGGAGTTTACGATGGTGAACCTTTGAACGGTACAGAAATATATAAATCGTTTCAAACAAATTAAGTGTATTAACGACTTTTAACTTTTGATTTGATTAATTTCTTCTCCAAATATTATGCTTAAAGCACAACTGCTTTATTTTAATAACGATGAATCGCTTCTACACAATCATCTTTTAGTCTATGTATATCTAAGAAAATAATTTATAATAATAAACTGTTTATGTCTCTGTATTTCTGATAATCAGTTAAACTGTTACAAAAAGTCTAAGCAACTATGAACAAATTGGTCTCAGTGGAAATTCTCTTCAATTACGTATATTAGTACAGATCGAAAGTTCATTTTGAAACATAAAGGGATGAATTTCTCATCGTGAATGATTTATCAAGTTAGAGTTAACATTGCATAGTGAGGTGAGAATATCAACATATTGGCGTTAAAGACAGTATTACTTGAACTCAATGATCTTTCCAGAAGAATCCAGAGTTTCACGAATCAGTTTGAATTCGGACTCAATGCAAATATTGATCTTGTATTGGCATATGGTACAATGTTCCAACAATGCAGAGATTATTTTCTTTTTGGAATTATTGGAACATACAATAAGGATCAATTCGATTTCATAATAGACATAATAGAATTTTTTGATGGGACAAGTTATAATTGGCCTTATCTTATCAATTGCTCTCGACCTACAGTCAAGTCTAATGAAAAGAGGCTTCACGATCACAGTTTTTGGACACTGTCATTAGTGTTCAAGAATAATTATTTGGAGAAATTGAAATGTTGAAATAGTTCATTTTCATTGTCAGATGATGTTTCACAGGCACATTGATGCAGCATTATGTTATAACATATTCTTCAATGTAAATCATCTTTGTTATGCATGGTCTAGTAATCAAGAAAAGCATTCATCCTATGCTACATGAAAGAAAATATTCTTTCTAACTGATGATCACTCGGATGTATCTGTTTTCATATACTATAAATGAATTAAACTCTTTTTTTTGTGTCGAAAGACATTCCGTCCACAAAAAATGACATACTAACCAAAAAGAACCAACATAGCAATTATAACAACTAATTAAATGTTAGTGATTATAACGGATTAACGTACCATTTTTATCACACGTTTTTAACTTTTTATGATAAAATTTATTTTTACTTGTATAAATCCATATTTTCTGACGACAAAATGGCTTTGCTAAAACTATCATTGAGCATTTATTTCAGAAGAACATGCCACCACAGGTAGCAGTGCTTTGGAACTATATTAAACGCCAAATTGTATAGATTGTACAATTTATTGAAATAAGACGTCGGTTTTACCAGAGACACGAAAGAAAACTTTTTTATATTACATATTCAGCCGCTGAAAGCAGTTTCGCTTTGGACTATTATTTATCTTGAAATATGAAAACAAGTTTGAATACGTATTTCATATTGAAATACAAAGTGGAACGGATCCATTCTATGAAAAGCTTTCTCACATAAACCGATTCGCAGAGCGAAAATTTTTAAGAATGCGAAAAATTTTTAATTCTTGGGGGCGTGTACATTCCCCCACTTCCGCTGTCGCTACTGGCATTCCCAATAGTTGTAATGACCATTTGAGTGTGAGGTCAGTAGTCATAGATGCTTGCGACTTCTTTTCAGCTATACTCTTGTTCTCTTTGAACAATATTATGAAAGAATTTCAATTGTACTGCTTGTTCAGCTATGTTGTCGTTTGATCTTTGTCAATAAAGAGAGTGTTGATGCATAAAAAGTACATTCTGGTTTTGCTTGGTTTCGAATGATGAAAGAAGTCTTGTATTTCGTTTGAAATCTCTGTTGGTTCGATGCAATCAACCAAAACAATGCGAAATTATCCATCGTGGCGATTGAATAGTAGATTGATAAGTTTTGATTTCAGAAAAGAGAATTTTGAGCATGAATGAACCCATCTCATCTAAGATCATCATCGACAGTGCCTATGCCATATAATTATGGCTTCAATCCAAGATTTTACCGGACTACTGTGTTTAACTTATTGCATTAATTATAATAGAACGCATCCGACAAATAACGATATGAGTGTGTAAAAATAGAGCATCTTACAAATATCGGACTCCTAGGGTTATGTGATGCATCATATCGTTCGCAAATTATCTCATGGGCTCGATATAAGTTGGTGAAGTCAATTTGGACAGTGAATTTTCTCTCAAAATATTTGCCATATCGCTAACATGTTAACTCTCGTCCAATTATGTCGCATGAGTCCTCTTTAATTGAACTATTCTGTGTTTATTTAGGTGAAGGCCTTTGTGTGGTTGGTTTTTTCTTTACCATAAGCAAAAACGGCAACACAATGGAGTAATCAGCAACTGTAAATGATTTGCCGATGGTCATTGAAAATTTTACTACTCGTATCGATAGTATTAAAGAATAATTAACAATCAGGCCTAAATTATAGCATATATTTTTATAATATTTATCTTGATGATATTATTTTATGTACTTATTAAGTTTCTTCATTTAATCTAAGATCTAGTAAATAATATTATCCGTTCAATTTTATTACAAATACAGAGCAGTAAAAGTAATAGAAATTTGTTAGACAAAGAAGAAAAAAAGAATAAAAACAAGGAGCGAGATTTATTATAAGAAGAAACAAGAGATACTTATAAGCAAAATAAAATCAGATCACGGAACTATACAATGAGGAATTTTTTTTCTTAATTTAATTAACTATTGCTGATGAACACATTAAATTAACGCCACATGATCCATCACCACGATATAAACGATAATAACCCTACAAAAAAAATTTCAATATCATAAAAATAACATATCTTTTTTTTATTACCTTTTCACCCCAATGGGCACCCCAACTATTTTTTATAATCCAATATGGAATCGATTTTGAACCTAAATTCACATATAAGAATATAGTTTACAAGAAACAAAAAAACATACGTTTTTCTTCAGTGCCATAACCAACAAGTAAAACTCCATGATTAAGTCCTTGTGGATTACAAAACGTACGATGAGGATGAGCAATACCACGAAAATAAAACTTTTATTAAAAAAATAATCAGTAATACAATTTACAAAGAAAAGTCAATGACTCACTTGCATCATGTTTGCATTCAGTCCAATAGAAATCGGTGCATTATTCGCTAACCATTCAGCCATTTCTTTAAGACGACAAAAAAAAATGAATTATCTAGTTAAATATCATTTTCCTCTTACCATTTTCATCAGATGTTATATTTAAATATCCATCAATATTAACTTTTATTTTGGTTTTATCTAGTTGACATTGACTATGCTGTTTTCCTTCATATTTATAATCTTGTTCTGTCATAAGTCCACCGATATTAATAACTTGATCATAAGCAACAGTCATAAATCCTCCGTTACATCCTTCATCAACTTTATCACAATCAACTAGTTCTATTCAAATTAAATTAAATTAAATTAAAATAAAAGTAGAATCATATTGATTAACCTTGTTCAGATAATGAAACTAAATTGTCTTTTTTGACTTTCCAAACACCTTCAATATTTCCAGTAACACTAAATGCCCAACAAGAACCACATACACCCTTAATAAATGAATTTTATCTTAATAAGAACTAGTGTTATTATGTTTTATACTTGATTTTTAACATCTGTTACAGCACTATGATTACGCCAATCAAATGCTTCTGGTGTAACTTTTAATGGATCTTTTAAAGATAATGAAGATTGTAGAATAGGTTTTGAAAATGAAAGACGTTCATTTAAATAATATTGAGTAAATTCTTCCTCTAAAAAGAAATCGAAAAATTTTCTATGAAAACTAAACAAAAAATAGTTGAAAAAAACCATTAAGATCAGTCAAATGTGTTATTCCATAAATTGCAGTGCCTTCTTCTTGTTCATTTAACAGTTCAATTCGATTCAAATTTTCTTTGAAAACCACAAATCGTTTTTCTTTTTCTAGAAATATAAAAACATAATTTATTCATAAATTCAAATGAAATAAAACCTCTATCATCAAGATAAAATTTTTGATGAAGCCTTTGAAATCTTTCAAATAATTGTTTATCATAGTCATTTAATTCATCATAAGTTATATGTTCTACAGGAACTTTTGTGCCATACTTCAATTAAATAAATAATTCATGTTGTTGAATAAATAAAAAAAAGAAGTTAACTCACTAAAAAAGGATAAGGAATTTTATTTGCATTACGTTGAATATCGCCACCAATTAATTTTTCCTGTTGAGGATCTTGTTCCAGTGAAATACAAATTATAGAACGAACAATTGCACGAATATGTCCAATAGGATCATCATAAACGGATACAGGACATTCATATGTCTACAAATCTCTTAGTCATATTTAAATTCATTAAACATTTATCATCGTTTTACTTACAATATCATTATCTGTTGCAACAACTTGAAAATGAACAGTAAATATTTGACGACTATTTTCTAAATCAACCTAAAAGAATGTTTTTTCTATTTTTAAATATTAAATATAATTCGTGTAATTGAATTTACAGCAGTTTCTATTCGAATAATATGTGTTGAACGAACTTGCTCTTCATTGCGAAAATATTTTGTTAATGATGCACTAGCAAATGAAATAAGTTCAACATCAACTGACGACAATATTTGTTCATAAATTTTTCTTTCTGATGCATTTATTGAAACAATTAACCAAACAAATAATAAATAGAATAACCACATTCTTTTCTTTGTGATTGATCAGCAAAATAATTAACAATTTGTTGAAAAAAGGTACACAATCTAATAACTCACAATGCTTATTGCGTAAATTAAAGAAGTCTATCAGCTGATAAACATAAACTATCCAATTACATATGTATTTCTAGTTTCGACTGAAGATGTCACTCACTGACAGACATGCAAATGATGTAATCAATTTCAATTACACTCTATCTTTTTAAATGGAATCAGTTTTCATCATAATATTTTATGAAGAAAAACAATAGATACTGATTCTTGTAAAAATGTCAGACAAACGAATTGAAAATATCTAAAAACATGCGGATGTGTATCATAGTTAAATAATGTCTAGACGCATTTCAGAATAAAATCTCGCTCGAACAGGAACAAATCTCTCATAAGCACATTTGAATGCATTTTTATTGGGAAAGAATTCTGAAAACTCATAGTAAAAGCAACTCAAATGTAATCATATTTGTTTAGAACTCACATCATACTCATACGTATTAAGAAAAAACTCATCACCTCATATATACATATTTTCATATGTCTTATCCTTCAATAGCTGTTAAGACAGTCTATTCAGGTATGTGCTATTGACTGAAATAGTTGTGTGACAAATTTTCTGGATAGAAACGGACCTAGCTCAACTCACTGAGATGCAGCATTCATCAGGTTTGGATGAGGTTTTATTTTGATTCGTGCCTGAACACATTTTAACATAGTAAAAATCACTTTTAAACGCGTCTATTTAGTGCTTCATGATTATGCATGAATAACGAAGTTCGAAACAAGAATCCTTGTATCATGGGTAGATCAAAGTAGTTATTCAAATATTTCAGTTCATAAATCGTTTTAAACTCAACTTTCGAATCATTCTCTTTGCTATTTTAATTTCAGCTACTACAGTTTGAAATAAAGTTATTCGACATGTTGCGATTCTCATAATCAAAAATACAAGAAGATTTTCTAAAGTTTGTTATGATCAACACAAAATAGAATTGTATTCTTTTATATGTATAACTAATATTCAACCAATTACACACATATCCACAATCACATCCAACATTGCAAATTTGATCGGTTGGAAGCTAAATAGCAAAAACAGCAGATTTCCTGAAAGTACAATTGAAAGTAACCATCTTAAATAGTTACTCTGATAATTCAAATATACTTGTGGACACGTGACTACACACGTGCATGCAAGCATACATAATCTCAAGCTCATTTTATTTCGAGTGACATACTTTTCAGTCGAGAGAATAAATTGTGTATATAAAGATATATCAATCATTGAATAGAAAAAAAAAGCAATATATTTGAACAGACAGGTTTTTTCTTTAAAAAACGGTGGATATGAGACGTTCAGAAGGAGGAAAAGTGAAAAAATGCGATTTTTACCTGAACATACCTTTTGGATGATCTTTTTGCTCTTCGTTAATTTATTAAGACAAGTCAATATATTGTCTTTTAATTAAACTTTATTTTCTATGTAATTCTTTGAAGCGTCTTATCTGTGAATGAAGTATTTTCATTGTCATCGTTAACAACAAAAACACAGTTTCATAATAATGATTGAACTGATGACTTCTTCGTACAGCTTTTTTTAGTTCGATTGATACGGCTTAGCATTATTGCTCATGGGGAGAGAGTAAACTTGTTGTATGCTTTTGAATTTCGAACGAGGCATTATAACACTACCGTTTTACTATGATTCACTGATTTTGTACGAATAAAATTATCGAAATATATTTGTTATAACTCATTAATTTGACTATTATATTGTACATATTAACTGTCTCCCAAATATGGTGAACAAATTGAAGATTTTCATTTATATCTTCTATAGATGTTACAATATTTGACATAAAAAGTTTGACAAAAAAAGAGTACTAATTGCTTACACATTGATTAGAAGTTATGTGCATTTTCGATCGAAATAGACGTTGAAAAAAAAATGATTTACAAAGATGATATTGTATTTATGATATAATTTAATATTATTGTTTTGTTTTAAACCTATACTTTTGACATATCTCGACGTGATTCGAACCGAATAAAAACCGTCGGTAAACCGTTTGATATAATGTGCACTATACCGACAATAGTGCGAAGAAACATGCAACATGAACTATTAGTCAATACTTTAATTTTCTATTTTTTTTTTGCATAATTGAAGATTTCATCTTAAACATAATTGAAATTAATAGAAATAGAGAACACATCAGTATATATCAATAGAACGGTTAATGTGATCACAATTTTTCTATTTCCGATGTTTTCTAAATTCTATTACAATCGAACTATGAGTAAATATATGAATATTTCGATGTTGATTGTAATATTAATATATTCTTTCACACACTAATACATTAATATTCATTTGTAAAATAGGGTCTATAGAAGGAGCGATTTAAGCTGTTCTTCATCTAAATATGGAATAAAGAGAAAATGTTTTGAAAACATGATCATGGTATTACTTCTTTATAGACAAAAATTTAATCATTTAAAACAAATTTATAAGACTCCCTTTGAGATTAATTAATTTGCCACTTTAGATTTTCATATTTTCGATATAAAAAAAATTGTTCTGATCACATCCAATCGTTAAAAAAAAAGAAATCTTACAGATCAAAAACCCTGAATAGATTATACATGAAAAAGAAAATTTAACCTCTGTGTATGTGTATGTATTGGTATTGACAAAACTAAACAGTATAAGTAGTAACTATTTATATCAATAGTGATGCTCAAGAAGCTCCAGTATAAAATTGTGAATCCGTATCCTCAAATTTAAATATGAATTTTCTTTGTTTATATTGATATTAATTATTATTTGAAATTATAACAGATCGCTAAAGGCAAATTCAATGTTTTTTCTCAATTACTATAGTCCAATGTTGTTGAAATGAACTTTAGGCAATATATATATATCGTGTGTAGAAATCATTGCTGATATAATTTATTTGCTCAAAATTATAAATGAGTTAGTGTCTATTGTAATTCTATTGTGATGACTTGAATGTTTAACGAGAATATCCAATATTCAATATTTTAAAAGAATTTATCATAGAGATCATTATTCAAAAATAGTTCAAATCATATTGATAAATTGATTCATGAATAATCACAACAACAATATCTCAATTATAATAAAGAATTTCAGAATTCAATTTTATTTAAATTTATTTCAAAGCAGATTTATATAAATTCAAAGCTTGTATAAAGGAATAGCATAGAAAAAAGAAAGTTTTTAATTCTCATGTGAATTAGAATTACCCATGCTTTCACAAAGAGATTGAATGATTTGACGAAATAAACTATTGGCTATCTGTTCATATTGTCTTTCTTGTTCTAAAGCTTGTTTATCAAGAGCTTTAGCATTTTTCAGACCATTGAAATATTCAGTGCAGTTTGATGAGAGTTGCTCGGCATTGTTGTCATCTTGAATGTAAGATATGAATTGTGCTCGTTTTTGAAGAGCTTGAGCAAATGATCCATTCGATTGAAGATCATTGATCACCTGTCGAGTTTGAGTAAGAAATGATTGAGCCACTGTATCATTGGAACATAAATTTGATGTCCATGAATCTTCATTAGAACCGTCAATTAGAATATCCCAATGTCCCCAATTAAAAGATCTTCGACGAAGACCGCCATGAACCGAAACAAGAGCCAAAAATAACTTATAAAACAAAATCAAGTAAATATAAGTATCATATAAAGTTTTAAAAAAAAACTTACAAGAGCAATGTAAATGAGAAGTTTAGCCATATTTGAGTGTTTTACTTGTGTTTAACTACAACACAGTTTTCGTCTGTATTTATATGCGAATCAACAATGAAGAATATACGAGAAAAGTCCAAAGAAAAACGAAAAAAAAGTACACTTTTTTTCTATAATTATAATACAAATCGAAATTAAAACAAGTTTGAGTAATACTTTTTCTTATTAATCTGATTATTCATTTTCATGTTTATTCTACTGTATAATCAAGTTTCTCATAGAAGACCAGAGTGTACACAATATAGAGGTTGTACAGTACCATTCGACAAAAATAAACGAATTTGTTTTTGTGCGAAAAGATTGACGTAGTTGAATTATCAAGTTGATACTCAAAAAAAAGTACACCCATAGCATTGCTATTGCATTCACTGAATAATATACGCATTTTCTTTTTAATTTGAATAAATTTGAATTTTTAATATCACTTTAAAATCAATTTATGCTGTTAAATAGAAAAAAAAACACATTCATCTTATTTTATCAGGCAATTACTAAAACTATAACTAATAATATCGTCTTAAAATATTTTATCGATTTTATTTCGCAAGTGAATTGATATATGGCCGATTTTGTCCCAAAAGTTTCGGAAAATGATAGGCATTTCAAAGCAAGAGTACGATATCCGAAACTAATTGCCAGTTTTTCTAGTTTTTAAATTTTCGAAAAAAAATCTTCATTGTTCAGTCATGATAAAACTGCATATATGGATAGGCTATAATCCGATGATATTCATAACGATAACCTTGTTTGATTCTTTTTACTAACTCTGAGTCAGGTCAGCCTTCTATCCAGAACTATATTTAGTAATAGATGTAGGAAAAATATCAGACTTTCGAAACTGTTCTCGAACAGCACTCTATACCGCAATGTAGCCCAAAGGCAGGCTATTCTTCTTGGTTTTTACTAATGTATTCTAAGAGACATATAATTATTTGTAGCAAATAAAATTTCATGATTCGGGTATCTATCAAAAGTTGTGTTTGAGTAATGGCAGATTTATGCTTATCTTATATATATTGTTGTTGTTTTCCGTGTCTTCCAAAACTTAATCATATTTCTTGTCAGTCTTTTCTTTACGTGTTTTTAGTTAAATAGTCAAAGAAAGTACATTTTTTGTCAAAATCTGATATTTTTATTCTCACAAATGGACGACCGACAAAAGAAAAACGGATGTGGGTGTGATGTTTTCATGTGCAGTTAATGATTTAACTCTGTGACTTGAAAGTATAGCCTGTGTAGTATGTTCACAAGTTGACTAGAAGGTGCATTTGATGATTCGTGACAATGTATAATATGCTCATCAAAACATTATTATGTTGGTGCTCGTGTAACTTTTATTTTCTGTCCAAGCAGTGTGTTGATCTTGCCAAGTTGGTAATCAATATAGTAATCCAGTCTACTTCTTCAGTCAAATGAGCTGTAAGTCAATATCATGAAATTGATAAAGTTTCATACACAAGATGTGTTGCTGGTCATTTAAAACAAGTCTAACTAGCTCAACTTATTGTGATATTGAAGAGTTGTCGAATAAATCGATTGATCAGACAAACAATATTTAATAATAGGCTCTTTCATTTTATCATTCAAATGAAAAACATATTATCAATTTAGAATAAATAACAAGATATTTTTTTTAAAATCCATCAATGAGACAAAATAATTCTTTTGTTTTTTTGACAAACAAGAAAAAGTTGTAGAAGTTCATAAAAAAATTTTATTTATTAAATTGAATAGCTTGTAATTGTTTTTTCATTTGATCAATTTGTTGTCGATGATTTTGAACAAAATTTTGAATATTTTCTATCGATAAATTCTCAAATTGTTCTTGATCTTGACTTGATAATATAAATTGTTGAATACGTTGAAAATTTTCTTTAAGACAATCTATTTGTATTTGATATTTTTCTAATTGTTGTTGCATTCGTATTTCAGCATCTGATATAACAGGTGTACTTTGTTCAATTACAGATAAAAGATCATCAACATGTGATGATAGACGTTTTCGACGAGAACATTCCTTTTTTTTTGTTTTTCAAAAAATTAAAATTAAAATAAAAAATAAAAAAATGTTTACTTGTTGATATTGTTCTCTTAAAATTTGAAATCGTTTTTTAATTTGTTCAAATTTCTCATTTAATTGTTTATATTCATCGATTTGTGTTTGTTGAAAATCTTTTAAATAATTTTGTTTATATTCAAGTTCTTTACGAACATTTTCTTGTTTTTCAATATATTGTTCAGTTAATATTCTAACGAATTGTGAAAGATTTTTTTCAAAATCTGAATCGGAAATATTTGTTGACGATGTCGAAAGTGTTATATAAGGAATTGATTGATCACGTGAAACTAATGAACGAATACGATCAACGAATTCCGATGATGATTTCGATTTATCTGATTCAGATAATATTAGACTGTCTTCAATCGGTTTGAACGATGGACAATGAACAAAAATTAATTCCTAAAATAAAAATATCAATATTATCAGTTCAAACTTATTAGTCTATTTCTCTTCATTACTCTTTGAATTTTTATCATACGAATTATTCGAAAATCTATGGTTAACACAACTAATAGTCTATTTTATATTACTTTTCATTTTGTATATTTGCAGCTAAATTCTTATGATATTAAGCTGACATTTTCGATGCCTTTGATCGCAAGCATAAACCAGATGTCAATCGGTTCACATCTACTCGAGTTCTGATTGATACATAGTCTTTACTTTGTCAAAAATATATTCAGTGAATATATGGACTGAAAAAAAGTATACGTTTGTCATTCTACTATTTCACAAACTACTACTGTTATCGGATTAGACTTAACTACGACAAAGATATTTGTGCCAACATAATTGAAATAATGTGATCACAAAGAGAGGATGATCTTTGAATAATTATAAATCCAGTAGATGTGTATCAATGAAGAGCAAGTTTATACTTGCGATTAAGATTTATCATCGTACGTATGCACTTTAAATATCATGACAATACCATAAATAATATTAGGAGTTCTTGACATACAGCTACTTTTATCTAAGATTCTATTCTCAATATTGAATTTGAACTGATTAATAAAGAAAAAAGTACGTTATCAGAAACTTCTTGACGATGATTTTCTTCTCAACAGAAAACAATATTCTAATACAATAAAGAATTGTTTCTGTTTTTGCCAAAGAGTTAAACATATGCAGAATAGTATGTTAAACATTATGAGATGATCTCAATATATATGAAAGAGAAAAAGAAATCCAAATTGAACCTTCTATGTATTTCTATCTATGCATGATTTTCTAAAAAAAAGTTAAAATAAACCTTTTGTTGATTTATTTGTGATTTAATAATAATAGCTAAGTATAGTTGATTATTATTTGTTTGTATTAAATTCATTTGTTGAATATAATTGATAATTTTATAATTATTATTATTTCCATTAATTAAATGTTGAATACGTGTTGGTTGAAGTTGTTTTAATCCTTGTTGAATTTGATCAATCCATGATATTTCAATTAAATAAACATTAGCAGATGAATCTGATAAATAATATCTATTTGAATAAAATCGATCTCGAATAATTGATGTTATTATTTGTCCATTTTGATTTGTTGGTAAACAAATTAAATCAATTGTATATAAATAATATTGATTTTTTAATGGAGATAATATTATACATTGATTAAGTTTTGATTTATCACGTGTATATATTAGAAGAGGATAAATTGAATTTGATAAACAAATAAATGTTGTTTGACCATGATCAGAACCATAATTATTAAATGTTGATGGAAGTATACATATTGGACCTTGAAATTCTCCAAATATTTTATTTTCACTATTTAAAAAAATAAAAATTTTTTTTTTGTTTTGTTTTCTTTATTATAAAATAAATTACTTTGATAAAAGTTGATTTTGATCAATTTCTAATATAAAAATGTCGCCATCATTTTTCATTGCAAATAAAAGAATTAATTCTAAATCTTTTTCTTGTCTTTTTGTTAAATCTAATTTAATTATATCTGATGGTTGATGAAGAGATATTTTTTTATTTGGTGTTCCAAATTTATTTGTTAAAGATAATCCAACTGTATATGTATGAAGATGTTCTATTCCAATTTGTTTTAATGATCGAACTTTATAAAGATGACAATCAGATGATGATGGAATTGTATAAACAATAACAAAATGACTTGAATTTAACCAAACAAAATCTATTAGTGAACAAGTTAATGTTGGAGATGATGATTCTATTGGTGGAACACGAATTATTGAACATAAACAAGATCCTATAATCATTCAAATAAAAAACATTATGTTTCATTTTTTTTCTTTCTTTAAAACAAAAAAAAAAAAACTTTTTGAAGGTGAATTGTTATTGATCTGTACATTTGGTTTTGGTAAAAAAACAAGATAAGCTATTTTATCTGCTATAAGAGCCAATATAGTTTCATCTTCATTAAGAATTAATCTTCGAATAGGCCATGTTGGAGATGATGATAAATGAAGACGATCATTTGATATAGCATTTAAATTATTTATTTGTATTGGAGAATGAACGACAAGACAATGATTTATTGAATCATAACCATAGAGTGATGATTTACCAAATGTGAATACATCAATATTAGGCCATTCAAGTGGAATTCGTTTTGAGCTTGATAATGACATTTTTATTTTAATCAATTTCTATTCTTTGATTCAAAGAATTGAAATGTAAAGAAAAAACGGTAAAACAAGGGAAACAGGCTATGAATAATATAATCCTTGATTCGACAAGTAGTAACGGTCATTGTTCAACAGATGTCGTTATATTACTTTCCTATTTCATGTTCATATTTAGCTGAATATAAGATCTCTCTGAAAATGAAGGATCCAATCTTTATTGTTTGGCTCGAGTTACTCTATCATAAAGGAAAACAATTAAAGAAAGAATTTATATAATCCCAGGTTGATCATTCCGACCATGGGAAACCGACGCCTTATCTGCCCTGAAGCGGCTATAAAACAACACATTATGACATTAATTTTGATCTTATTTCGCTGTAATCTGTCATACCGTTTTACGAGACGTTTTAATTGGTAGAAAACTGCCATCGTTTCTTCCCGGTTTTGCTTCTGTAATCGGGTATGACGGATTGAGGCCCTAAAACCGGTGAAAAACAGCCCTCATTTTTCGCCGTTTACGGCAGGAATTAAGCCGTTTTAAGCCTTATAAGATGTCGGTTCCGACTCTCGAAACGATCGACCTGCGTATTATATATGTAGCACAAGCAATAAGATTTAATATCAATACATTTATCATATGTGTTTCGTTCTTTTTGTTACATATCAATGAAAGTCATATGGCATGTTTTTCTAGTTTCCATCATCACGATTTGGACTTCATTCTCAATAATAAAGTTCTTCCAATTTTCGCTTTTTATTGTATTATTATTATCTATACCTGATGTAATTGAATATTTCAAAAAAAGCACTCATCAAAGTCGCAAAATTATAACCGTTGTTTTATTTTATTATTCAAGTTTATTGTTGTTTCTATTTTTCAAAATTCAGATTCCTCTTCATCTGTATATTTTATGCAATTTGATCATTAACCACATTTAACAGTTTAACTTACTTGTTTATGTTGAACAAAGCAGTTTATTTTATTCATAAAATAAGAAAAATATTAAAATCTATTAATATGATCTTACTGTTTAGTACTAATAACGATATTAACTTAAAGATGAAGTTGAATTAATTCTAACAATAACTTTAGGAATAAAAAAGAATGTATTTTTATGTTGAGAATAAATTCGAATGGTTTTTAATGATAATTTTAAAAATAAAAAATGAAATTCTTATCTAACAAACGCTATATTATCTTGTCTTCGTTATGATAATTGCCATCTCTTTTTTCTACAGAATCGCTCATAATCAAACATTTTTTTTTTACATAGCTGGAATAAATGACTATTATTTGTTGAAAAAATGATAGCAATAAAAATAAAATGAATTACAAGGCGATATCTGAAGGCATAAAAGTTGGAAGAGTACGTCAATGTGTTTTCAAAAGTATAAAATAGAAGATTTCTTCTTTATTCAAAGTAATATTGTGCAAAAGAGTGATTAAGATAACGTAGCTTCCTTTGAAAATAATTAATTAAAATTAGATTTTTGCCAATAGAAATCTTCTTAAGAGCCAATCCACATCAGCCATAACCAACTTGCTCAATCGAAGTTGTCCGATTTTACTCAATTTAGTATATGTTCTGGAGGCAAGAGTTCTAAGAGTTTTAACGCAAAACGTTTGAAAAAAATATAATTATTCCGTTCTCGAGATATTGAAATTTTTCTGAAGGCACTATCGTCAAGAAAGCACATTTTTTGTGACATCTATATCTCATGAAGGATACATGCAATTAACTTGAAATTTTTATTGTGAGTAGATATCATAATACTGTGTTACCGAAAAAAGATGAGCTCAAATGGATGAACTATCGAAGAGTTGCCGGTAGGTGGATGTGAGTGTGTATATGGATAACAAGCAAATACACACCTTCACCCTTAATGGCAGATATTAAACAAGATTGTGAAATTTCAAAATATAAAAAGACATACCTTGTTGGTTTACCGTATCTCATAGTATTATTACTTGATGCATAGTAACGGACGATAGTGATGATTAAAATAACAACAAGAAAAGAAATTAGCTATGTATAGTGAGTGATTTAGGAGTGATGCATTGAAAGTTAACCTTGAGCTTACGTAAAAAATATAAAGCAGTTGAGTGAAAATATTGAAATAAGTGAAAATATTGAAATAAGTGAAAAAACAAAAAGATAACTAGTTTTTTATTTGATGATATTCCATAACGAAGTATTTTTGAGTGAATTGGACAACAATAAAAGTAAGTTTTAGTAAAAACTGGCTCGTTCAGTAACTTTTAAAAACATCCATGCTGCTATGCAATTTACAAAAGACTACATTGTAACAGAAGACAGCAGAGCACACTATCAATCTTTTTCGATATTGAATTTTATAGAAAAAAAGTAGTTGCTTTGTGAGTGTATTATCAAAGAGTATTTATCAAGACATATTTACGTGTTTTTCGTGACGAGTCAAAAATTTTTTCGACAATTCATTCGAGGTAAATATGGCATCGGCACGTCTAGACACTTGAGGATTTGGAGTCTGGCGACCTCACTTCCAACGCTTATTGTTACTACTCTTTTGAATATTAGATAATGTTTCTTTGATTTGTGAATTTTAACCTTTTTATCTTTGTATATTATGACTAATGACTAATCATGGCAATAGAAAAGTTTCAACGACATACAAATAGTGTTTGTTATCGTCGATTTATAATTGGTGAAAAAGAACAACGAAAATGTATTGCACGTGATCTGAGTCGTATGATATGACTCATGAAATAAATATTTATAATGAAGAAAAATAAAATCTTGTCTTCGTTAATCTTTCTATTGATAGAGGAAAAAGTCTTGTTGTATTCGAACCTATAAATTTTGTCTCTTCTTACTTTATGGCATAAAGACAATATTAAAAATGAAAACGACAACTCAATCTGATGAACCTATTATTTCGAATGGTTTCGTTACATGTTATTTGGATCGTCTAGTCATTCATTTATATTATTTTCCCTATGGAAATAAAACAATCAAATATAGTGATATAAAATCATGTGAATTACTTCGAATGCGTGATTTGAGTATATTCAAATGTAAAATATGGGGAATGGCATTATCATCTGTTTGGTGGCATTCGGATTTACGTCGTCATTGCAGAGAATATTATATTCTTTTAGATGCAAATCAATGGCCTAAAATAGGTATTACAATGGATGATAATGATATTATCAACGTTTATAAATTAATTAAAGAAAAAATCGATGTAAATCAATCAAGAGAAATTTTCTTAGAAAAGAAATCTTTTGATAATATTGAAAAACTTGATAATCATGTGGCTAGTTCAATCTCTGAAAAAGAACTTGAATATCAAAAATCTTTGGAAAGTAACAAAGAAAAATACATGTAATAACCATTATATTCAATATGAACAAAAAGCAATAAATACTAAAAGTTTTTTTTTGTTTTATTCGATTTTCGAAATATTATTTTATTAATTCTAATAAAAGAAACAATTCAAATGAGTTTTTAATTGAAATCTTACTGTTACAATCATAATTCAGTTTATTCTTATCAGTCTTATTTAATAAATTAATGTAGCGATAGCAGAAAGAACACTCCTTGTTTTAGTAGTGATTTAACTGCGCAAATTGCGCTCAGTTTTCTTTTGTTTGGCTTTAAATTTTATGTTATTATTCAACGTCGATGCTCAGATATTATTTTCTTCCATATCAAAGACTGAAAATTATTAGTCATATCTCTTAATAATATATAAATTACTTCGCTATTCTATTTCTCGAAGATTGATTAAAACGATAGTCAAGAAAACTTAACCAAAATAAAAAAAAATCTTTTCATGATTAACAAGACTAAGAACATCCGTATTTCACGTTTTAATACCGAAGGAATTGTACTAATAACTCTTTATTAACGAGATCAAGCATGTATCAATATACATTCTTTCATACTATTTCATAAATCATCTTATACTAATTATATATAACATATTTGAATAAAACATTCTGCTGATATCAATAAGGAACAAGAAAATCATACTTAATTGAACAATGATGAAAGCTACAAAGAAAACAATAGGTCAATTGGTAATTTTATAACTTTCATATTAAGTTATTTTGAAGAAAATAGTTGTTGTCGAATTTCAAACATTTTTTCATTAGACAAAAGTGTTTTCAAATGCTTCCTTATCTTCTTGTACAGCTCTTCAAATTTGTTGTATGAATAAACAAGACTAGAATATGATTCAAAAGACGAATATTTTATTTGATATCGAGTGCTTTGGAGTATTCGCTCATGTTCACATATATTGCATCAATATTTTTATAGAATACTGCCAACTTAGGCGGATTAGAAGAAAGAACTTGTTTTGGATTTCAACAGTCTTCTCAAAAGATTGAAGTATTTTTGGACACTACATACATCACCAATGCCATTATTCAAGAGTAGCAAAATAAAAGTGACAGTAATGGTCCTTTTAAAAAGCCAAAGAAAAAGAGAGACTTCATATCATATTTTTATGTTTGGATTTTTAAAAAGAAAATGTTTTAATTCATTTGTTATACAATTTATAATAATAATAATTCGACTACTGTGTAAAACAAAACTTTTATTATAACGTAGCAGTTAACAGGTGTACAAAAAATTATTCTATTAATAAGTTCACATTCAAATTAACTTTTCTCTCAAAATCACTGTTAATTTATTAGATATTATTCAAATTATAGTCAACACTTTGAAAAATGTATAATATCTTTTAAAAGTAAAGTTTGTAAAATCCTTATTGACAATTTTCAATAAACAGTGAATAGTCAGAAGAACATGTACATACCATGAAAACATTTCTTAGATCTTCAATGTGATACCTACTCAATGTTTTCATATTATTGCAATATAACAATTTTTTAAGATGATCCATACATGTTACTTTTTTCTAAAGTTTGTTTCGTGATGATTAAAATAACGCTTACATAGTTATTGGTCTAGAAATGACGTGTCTTTATGATAGTGTCCAGGACAAGTACAAATGTGTGAGAGTATTAATGGTAATGTGATCTTATACTGTTCTTCATTTTTTTTTCCATCATCTAGATCTCTTTTCACGATCATCTAGAGTTTTTGTCACTCTAGCGTTCCTCTCACCATCATCATCGCTAATTTCTCATACTCTTACTGCTTTTCTTTCTTCAAGCGTTCTGTTAATCAAGAAAAAATTTCAATTTCGTCTGACCAAAATTAGAATTTTAAGTTTGATTGATATGATGATGAACGATATTAGCCCTTTGGTTACGGGATTTTTCTTGGAACAGAAGATTTTCGATTTCTATGAAAAATGCTTCAAATAGGATATGTCGATGTATGGTAAGACTATATAATGACGCTATAATTCTGATAGTACCAGAGCACTTTTATAATCTAACTAAGTAGTGGAATTCTACAAGATAGCTCTCCTTTCACCATTAGCCTGCAATGGTCAAGAGTACAATCAGGGTAGAGTTAGGGTACTACAGTTAGCGTACTTGCTGCGATAGCATTTCAGGTGATGTTTCAGGAGTGTCGTATTATGCCTCATGAGCAAATGTCTTCTAGTTTATGAATAAAGTATTTTTTCTTAGTAGCACTCTGCATTGTATCACTCTCTCTTGAGAACTGACAGGTTTTGACTTTGCCATGAAGTATGACTTCTGTAGAGTAGATCAAAACAAACATATGTAGAGGAATTGTCGTATAATATAGAGTATAAAAAGCCATGCTATTCTGCACATAGTTAAAGCAGTAAAGTCATAACTGTAACAGAAGTAGTCCAAGGAAAAGTTCAACACGCATATATGTGTGATCCGTAACCAAAGGGTTAGTATTGGAATTTTGTCTAGACAAAATCAGAATTCTAATGTTTCTCTGAACAAATATAAAAATGGACTAAATTCTAATTTAGACCACAGGACATATACATACATTAATGTTTTCATATGATTACAATATAGTGTTAGCTTTCGAATAAATTTTATTTGTCATATATTTAATCACTCAATTATAGAATATATCGTAAATATTCAAAGAAAAAGTTCTCTTTATATAAATATATATAAGATCAGTTATTCTCGATTATGTCAATTTGTTTCAGATATAATAAAATAATTTTTCGATAAAAATTTGTAAATAAGAGAATATTTTGAAACAATAATAATAATGATAAACTATAAAAATGTTCGTAATAGTCGAGTATCCGATGATGTTGAAGGACATCCTATAGAATATATTATAGTAGAAATCATCTATCATCAAAATGAATATAAGAATTGGTTAACAAGTGTAATAATTTGATAAGTATATTCTTTGCATGATCTCTGTGAATCGTTCTAATAATTTATTTAGTGAATCATTCATGTATCTAATCTCTTGAAATCTTCTTTGAATATGTTTACATTTATTCTTCTATGTTCTTGTCATTTGTAAAGATAAATGATAAGATAAAATAGACATCGACAAATAATAAAGTGTAAAAAGAAGTCTAAGTCATAGCTCACATTTATTTAAAACAGGTGAAGATCACGCCATATCGTATGATTGTTTAGGTGCAAATATTTCAAGTAAGTTTGTTTATTATTGATAAGAAATCTTTTTGAATGATATGTCAACATGCGGTTAGTATGAGGTGATTGATTAATCAAACTTTAAATATAGAATGTCTAGATTAAGTTTCGCTCGATTAAAATGGTTTTTTTTTTATTAACAAAAAAAAGAAAAAAAATTAATCGAAAAATTTTGACAAATTGAAATTATGGCTTAGAGAAGCATAAAGAATTTTAAAGAAAAATTTCGGTTGTAGTAATGAATATGGAGATTTTTCTTGAAAAACAACATGTATAAAAGCAGTTGTTAATTCTCCTGATTGTGCAGCACATTTAATTAACCAATAAGTATACCATTGTAAAAATTGCATAAATAATGGTGTTTTAGGTTGAGGATAAATTGATGTTGAATCTTCACTTCTTTGATAAGTATTCGTTTTACCATATATATCAGTATTAATTACTTTTAATGTTGGTACAGCCCAATCATTTGTTGTTGAACCAAGCCAACATTCTTCACTAATTGATGCAGCTCGATGATTATAAATAAATGATATATCTTTTAATTGATATTTTTCTTTAAATACTTCACTTAATTGTTGTGCTTGTCTACATGCATGTGTCATACCTTGACCATTTTTTGGATTAAATACACACATTGAATCTCCAACTAAAACATAATTTCTAGGCCATTTTCGACCTAATAATTCCACATGTTTTCGATCATCAAAAGCACGTCGATATGGAAGTAATGGACTTAAAAGTTTTGTTGATTTTAATATTAAATAATAATCAATAGGAAGATATTCTTTAACCCATTCTAAAAGATTTTCATATGAATCATTTGGAGGATATTCACCATTTACACAATAAACAGCAAAATTTGATATTAATCCTAATGAATTTTCATCAGAACTTTTTATTTGTCGAATTGGTGTTGTAAGAAAACCTTTATTGTGATATGGTGCATGAGCTGCATTTCCACCAACATGTATTGAGTCTAATGTTGAATTTCCTGTTCTAAATCTTTCACCATACAGATATTCAACTATTACAACATGCCATAGTCTTTTGTTTTTTTATCTTCATATTTATAAATATTCATAGTTCGAAGAGAAAAGAAGAGGCGTAATGTCTTCTGTCACATAGATTTAGCAGTTATATGTTCTCGAAAAGGTTCTTTCATTTTGCTATAGATCAGTAAAAAAACACTTTTCTGGTTTTCCAAAGTAATATTAAAACAATAATATTTTGAGCTACACTTATTTATTTTACATATCAACTATAGACTGTATAAATTCTTTTAAAGAATAATATTCTTATATATATCTTCTTCACATATGATCGTAAGAGTTTTGATCTTTATCTATAGAATCAAAAGTATCTACTTATGTTCTTCTTGTTTCTATTGTTGTTTGTATACTTTTTATTATGTTGTTTCACTATTTTCAGATGAATAAATTGATCTGCTTCTTTCCAATATTTATTAACATGAATACATTTAAAATATGTTTAATGATATTTTTTTTTTTTGAAATATTCTATAAATAAAGTTTTTTTCTTGTCTGTTTAAAAAGAAAAAAAAAGGTTGACATAATGATTGAATGTAGTCGAACAAATGAAACATAACCAGTTCCAACATGTAATTGTTCATTTGGAATAATTAAATTAAAATATTGTTTTAACCATTTGGTTGATGAAGAATATCTTCCAGTACAATCAACAATAAAATCAGCAAAAACTTCAATTTGTGAATTTGAATTTAATTTCGATCGACATTTAACACCAAGAACAGAATTATTTGATTGATTAACAATTAATT